ATTAGAAACAGTTTATTTGTTTCACTTCCGACTATACAGGGTGTCCATAAAAGTTCGTGTGCACTTTAAAAAATTTTATAGCTTTATTTGCATTTGCGATAGAAATAATCTGTAAAAAATGTTATAAAGTTTAATGTACCTAGTTTTAAGTATAGCTAAAATAACTAATGTGATTTCAGGCATTACTGTAAATCAGTTGGCAAATTTTTTTCCGTGAACTGCAAAATCGTATTACCCTTTATGTTGCTAATGATGGAGGACATGTGGAAACCTTAATAAAATTTCAATAAAACCTTAAAAAATATAGAATTACTTCTTTCTAATCCTTTTTAAAAATTATTTCTATCGCAAATACAAATAAAGTTACAAATTTTTTAAAGTGCACCCGAACTTTATGGACAAACTGTACAAATATATATATATATGTCATTATCTGTGTGTTAGTGTGTGTGAACAAAATTGTAATATTTATATGTGTGTGTGTCGTTGTTAGCAGATCGTTAGAAATGAGCTTACATTTTGATATCATGTTTGTCGCATTATATCTTACACTTCCGCCCAAAAGTATTTAATTTTTTTTCCGAAGACATCCTTCATCCATAACTTTCTAAAAATGGATGCGCAAGCAACGAGTCCGACATTACCCGAAGGACTACGATGGATATCAATATGTGGAAACTTAAATAAAATTTCAATAAAACCTTAAAAATATAGAATTACTTCTTTCTAATCCTTTTTACAAATTATTTCTATCATAAATACAAATAAAGTTATTAAATTTTTAAAGTGCACACGAACTTTATGGGCACCCTGTATTTTTTCCCGAGGGAATAAATATTCGTTATATTTAACCCTTCATGACCTTCTTTTTAAACCATGGTCAACATTCAGTGGTCGTTGACATTACCTGCGACATCTTCTATCGACATGCGAAGATTTTATCTAAATCGGAGAGGGATATACTTAATTTTATTTGTCGTGATTTCAGCCAGTGTCTGTCAACACATGGGGAGGTCTGCCTACATATATTTATCTATTCTTGCTTATAGTTTTGCATAATAACATTCACCCAATAAAGTTTCGTGAGTCACTCGAGGTAGAGTGTTACCATTAAAATTGTTATGATGAATGGTACGCATGAAAGAGGTGCTGGTAGAAAGGGAAGACACAGACATACATATATTTATACATATACCGTATATTTCTGCGTATAAGTCTACCTTTAGATAAGACGAGGTAAAGAAATATAGCAGATTTTCATGAATTTATCCTATACCTGTAGTATAAAACGACTGATGAATCTCGTGATGTGTTAGAGAAACTTTTTTGAAACAGATACTGTGGACTGTATGAATTTGATGGGTTTTATATATATATATATATATATATATATATATATATATATATATATATATATAGTTAATTTCCCAGATGAATTCTGTGGACAAGACAGATTGGTATCAAATGACAATTGGAAAAAAAATCTTACATTTGCCGACGCGTTTCGTCTTCCGACTTTTTTCAGGCAAAATGAAATCGAAATGTTTTTGTTGTTATAGTTACATTAAAATTTTGAATTTTGAATTTTAATGTAACTATAACAACAAAAACATTTCGATTTCATTTTTGCCTTGAAAAAGTCGGAAGACGAAACGCGTCGGCAAAATGTAAGATTTTTTTCCAATTGTCCATATATATATATTTTTATTAATACTGATAGCTTGATGGGAATAGTTTTAAAATAACTTAAAAGTTTTAATGCAACTACTGTAAAAAGATTTTTATTTGGAAAAAATGTCATATGTAATCTTAAATTATGTTCTTATTTAACACCAAAGTCATAATAACCTTTTTAATGAGAAATCAATATTATGTTATTACTGTCGTAATTACCACTACCATAATGCTTATTGAAAGTTTAGCGAAGATTTATTATGAAGTTATGCCAGTAATATATAAGGTAGAAATGGTTTTATTACTTTTATTATCAGTTTATTTGATAAGATCAATATTTTCATGTACTTTATTGGTTATTGCACCAAGACTAAGATTTGGCTACTGACAAACATTTGTTTAGATATTATCACGTGAATACTAATTATTCTTCATCTTCGTCTTCCCCTCCTCTTTCCCTATATCTAAACAGTTACAAACAGCCTGGTGTACTCATGGCCATCTACTTATACTTCATCAGCAATCACACAATACTGCTAATAACAGTACGATAATAGTAGATTCTATTGCTCTGAACGCAATCATAACTCGCTGTTTACATTTTCTCAAGTTATGCCATTAATATGTAAGGTAGAAATGATTTTATTATTTTTATTATCAGCTTATTTGATAATGCCAATATTTCATGTACGTGGTTATCGCACCGAGACTGAGGTTAGCTGACAGTCAAACATCAGTCAAGGTTTCTTCTTCAGTAATTTACTATAAGACGAACCCCAATTTGTAAGGGTGAACTGGGGGATGTAAAGGTCGTCTTATACGCAGAAATAAACGATATATATATATATATATATATATATATATATATATATAACTTAATATCTTTCGGTCTACAAACAATTATTTCGTCTTTAAGTTTTAACTTTAAAGAAAAAAATTACAGCCTGATGATAATGACATGGATCTTCGAAAGTACTTGCTTAACTTGAAAAATATAGACTAGAAACATCTGACAACAGTTTTATAAATGAGGATCACATCATTCAATGGATTAACAGTATTTTAATGCATACATTATGTTTCTACTAGCGAAGTTATTTCGCCATTAATCGCATCAATATCGCTGATTGATTCTATATATATATATATATATATATATATATATATATATATATATATATATATATATATATATCTGAACTCTCACGTCGATTTCGATATGAGGTCCCAATAGTTTAATTTCAAACTGAATCTTTGGACTGCCCACATATGATTTGATTATAGTTGCGACGATTTGTGCAGAGGCTGCCACACGTTTCAGAAAGAAAAATGATGACAGGGGAATGGTACACGGTGTGCCATGAAATCTCTAAACAACCCTCTTCAGGTTTTAATTCGGACTTTTCCTTCTCCGTAATTGGTTTCCCTACTAGTTAACCCATACCTAGACTTCAAAAGACATTAGTGCGAAGTCAATCGATCGACACGCCATTTTACTTGCCACGTCGATACTCAAACGTTATATTTAGTGGATACTCGTATTTGAGTAGACGTTCTGTTTATGTATTAAAAAGCGTATTTATTTATTCTCGTCTAAGGATAATAGGAAGTGTACTATGCCAATTTGCTGAGGTAGCTACGAAAAGTTACCAGACAAAACGTCGAGGAAACCTGAAGAAAAAGAAGATTTGTTTCATCAGGACAATACCCCAGCATGTAAGTCCTATGTTTCAATGGCAGTTGCGTGTGATTTGAACTGGATGCTCACCACCCCTATTCTCCTGATTTGATTATCATCTGTTCTCCAAAATGAAAAAAACATGATGATGACGTCATATCCGGTGTTGATGACGTTTTTTGACAAACGGGATGAAGAGTCTTCTTTGAACAGTCAGATCTCGGTTTACCTGGAAACAAACTGCAGTTATTAACGAGAAGAGATGAAATTAATGCATACAAGATTTGACAGTTACAGCATCACTCCTTCATATTCAGCCTATGAATATTTCAGTCCACCCCCGTACCTGGAAAGAAACAATGCAGGAGATTTGAAACAATGAAAAGAAAACTAAGGAGATTTGAAATAAATGCATGCAAGATTTCACAGCTCTAGAATCACTCCTTCATTTTCAGCCTATGAACTTTTCAGCCCATCATCGTATTTGGGTTGCAATTTTTAATTCATACAAGTTAAATACCGACGAACATCCTTGATTACTGATTTATTTATTTATTTATTTATTTATTTTTTCTATATTTTTTACCATTTCGTTTACTGACATTTCTCCTCAGTAAAGTCTTCTCATTCTCTTCCACACTTCTGCGTGTTAGTAGCCTTATCGCCTTCCTTGGGGGTACAATGATTATATATATATATATATATATATATATATATATATCGGTCGTCTAGTCACACTGATGAGCTGTGATACAACGAAACAGTCTCGTATGTGGGTGACTATTTACGCTTTCGTTACCCGATCGAGCACTCTAGGAAAAGGTTAATTTTAGGAAAAAAAAAATTGGCTGCTGTTGTTATTAACGCATCGCGCTTCATGTACGAATTGCCCCTCTTGGCTAATGGCGTTTGTATACATCCTGTATATAATACGTTAAAATTTCCCTTTCTCTGCCGTGCGCCGATAGCTCTGTGTGTGTGTGTGTGTGTGTGTGTGTGTGTGTGTGTGTGTGTGTGTGTGTGTGTGTGGTGACTTGGGGTCAGATATGGATCGGAATTCGACAGAATGATTGGATTAAGAACCAATTGGAAACGTTTATAAATCTGACATATTTCACTTTTATTAAAGTTTCATCAGAGAACGAGATATGAAGAAAGAAAGAAAGAAATTCTGGTATTTTTTATTTTTGTTCTGTTTGATTTTTATTCCTTTAGTAGGCTTCACGTTCATTTGACGTGTTAAGCAGCGTTAGTATGTCATGACATACCGAAGCTCTAACTGAAAAAAAAACGTAAATATTGCTTTATGCGTATCATAATTTTATTTTTGTCTATGTGGAATTCAGGAAGATAATATATATATAAATATATATATATATATATATATATATATATATATATATATATATATATATATATATATATGCACACACACACACATATATATATATTCGGATAGTCCAGTATATCTATCTATCTATCTATATATATATATATATATATATATATATATAATTAAAGATGGTCTGAAAATTGGGTACAAGTGTGATATAGATTCGATGTTGATCACGTATATATTCCCCTTCGCTCTATCCCTGATATTGAGCACTTTTATCCATCAATATAACATACTTTATCATATATATATATACATATATATATATACTGGACTATCCCGAATTGTAGCAACAAAAATGTGGTTCTACAGAAGGATCCTGAGGATACCATGGCGCGAACATGTGAGCAACGACGAAGATTAAGAAATTTAAAATAAAAAAAGGAAACTTACACTTAAGATCAGGAAGAGAACATTTAAAATTTCTATGAGACATAACGAGGAAAGGGCGCTTGGAAATTTTGTTACTCACAGGACAGTTTGAAAGCATGTGGGACAGAGGAAAACAAAGTATCACGTACTGAATAAATGTAAATGCGGAGCAATAGTTTAGGAGAGATAGCAAAATTTATTCAGAGCTACAGAGGACAGGAAATTGGGGAGAGCCATGATCACCAATGTCCTTAAAGGACACGGCACATAGAAGAATTAAGGGAATGGTGTAGTATTTTCTATCCCCTGATAAAAAAAATCAAACTTATTGACCATTTGTGGCAAGAATTAAAAAATGGTGTTCATAATCGGAGGCGGTCAACTCTTTAACGATTGCCTTATGATCACTGAAGTTAAGCAACGTCAAGCCTGGTCAGTACCTAGATGGGTGACCGCTTGGGATACCGGGTGCTTCAAGCTTGGATGGATAACGGCTCGGAACTGTTAATCGAATATCCGAGTTTCAATGACCCTTTGGTTTGTTATAGTCTCTTACGTGCAAATACCCTCGAGAAAGATATGAATACGCCTTTTCCCCCCAGCTATGGGTTAATTAAGAGACTTGCATGAGAAAACGTTTATCTCAAAAGATTCTTTCAATCTGTTGTAACCTTGGGAAGGTTACTGAATAGAATAATCACACGAAGGTTGGTAATGAACGATAATACTTAGGACAAGAACAACACATATAAGATTCACCAGCGGCGCTTAGAAGAAGTAATCAAGTGCTAGAAGTGAGTGAAGTGAATTCTACAATGAATCTCCAACTGTAAGATATCTACCAACCGCTTCACGCCCCTTCCTATTAGCCTCGTCTGGGGATCCTTTCTGCCCGGAGGCAGAGAGTTTGACCAGCACAGCTGGAGATGAATCTCCGGCTGCAGGATATCTACCAACCACCCCACGCGGTCAGATGTGGCACAAGGCCGAATTTAACGTGAGTTATCCGAGCCCTTACGCTCGGCAAAAATTCCCCATAGAACTCGTATAAAACGAGGTCAGGTAGCTGTTACTCTCTCTCTCTCACATTTTCTCATTCACTATCTTTCACACTCTCTCTAACTCTGTCTCTCTCACTCCTTTTCTCTCTAATTCTCCCTCTCTTTCTCTCTCTCTCACACTCACTCACTTTCTCTCTCTCACTCACTTTCTCTCTCATTCTCACACTCTTTCTCTCTCTCCCACTCACTCTCTTTCTTTCTCTCCCCACTTTCTCACGCACTCTCTTTCAAAGGCTCTCTCACTCTCTCTATCTCTCTCACTATATTACTCACTTTCTCTCTGATTCGCACTCTCCCTCACTCACTCTCTCTCAATCATTTTCTCTCTCACTCTCACTCTTACTCTCTCACACTCACTCACTTTCTCTCTCTCCCACCTTTTCATTCACTCTCTTTCACACTCTTTCTCACTCTCTGTCTTTCTCTCTCACTCTCTCACTCAATCACTTTCTTTCTCACTCTCACTCTTACTCTCTCACTCTCACTCACTTTCTCTCTCTCCAACCTTTTCATTCACTCTCTTTCACACTCTTTCTCACTCTCTGTCTTTCTCTCTCACTCAATTTCTCACTCTCTAGCTCTCTCTCACTCACTCACTCTCTTTCTCTCTCTCTCTTACTCACCCTCTCCCACACCTTATTTCACACTCCCTTTCTCTCTCTCTATCTTTCTGTTTCTTCATTGTTTTCCATATCTCGCATTTTTATTCTCTTAACGGACATCTATAAACTAATACTCGTTTGATTCGTTCAATATCTTCCTTCTTTTTCTTCAGTTTTTTCTTCATTTCTCCTTCCATTTTTCTTTCTTTTTGAATGTCCTTCTTTCAAAAATTTACTTTCGTCAATCCTTTAATTTTTTATCTTCTAATGTCTTGTTTGTTTCTTCCTTCTTTCCTTGGCTTTTTCTTCATTTCTTTTTTCCTTCCATTCTTTCTCAACCTCGACTTTGCTTTTTCCTTTCTACAATTTTCCTTCTTCCCAACTTTCTTAATTTTTTTCTGATATCCCTCTTTCCTTCAATCCTTCCTTCGCTTTTTTCTTTTGTTTTTTTTCATTCGCTTTTTTCCTTTCGCTTATTCGCATTTTTCCTTAGCGTTTTTCTTTCGCCTTTTCCTCGCGTTTTTCGGTCGCTTTTTTTCATTCGATTTCTTTGTTTCGATTTCTTTCTTTCGCTTTTTCTTTCAATTTTTATTCTCTTTCTTTCTCTCGCTTTTTCGTTCATTTTTTATTCGCTTTCTTTCGCTTTTTCTTTCATTTTTTATTCGCTTTCTTTCTTTCGCTTTTTCTTTCGCTTTGTTTTATTCGCTTTCTTTCTTTCGCTTTTTCTTTCATTTTTTATTCGCTTTCTTTCGCTTTTTCTTTCATTTTTTATTCGCTTTCTTTCTTTCGCTTTTTCTTTCGCTTTGTTTTATTCGCTTTTTTCCTTCGCTTTATTTATTTGCTTTCTCTCTTTCGCTTTATTCATTCGCTTTTAGTCTTCGCTTTTTTCTTTCACTTTTTCATTCGGTTTTTTCTTTCCCTTTTTTTCCTTAGCTTTTTCTTTCGCTTTCTTTCATTCGCTTTTTTCTTTTTTCCATTCTCCTTCGTTTTTCTTCATTCTCTTCTTCATCCACCTTTTTTCTTTCTTTTCATCTCTCCTTTTTTTTCTCGGTCTTTCTCTCTCCCTCTCTCTGTCTTTCTCTCTCTTTCTCTCTCTCCCTCTCTCCCGCTCTCTCTCTCTCTCTCTCTTTTTCTCTTTCTTTACCTCTTTTCTCTACTCATTCTTAATTGAAATGATCCTCTCTAGTTTTATTTCATTACACATTCTTTTCTTCTTATCTGAAACTCATTCCCACCCACCCCATATTTTTTCTTCGTTTTTTCTCTTCTACTTTCATTAATCTCTCTCCCTCACCCTCACTCCCTTCCCCCACCATTGTTTCCTTATACTTTTTCTTTCTCTCTTTCCTTCACACTTAATTCCCCTGTCATCCGCATCAATTGGTTGCCTGCCTCTGGAAATCTGATCTGTAACGTTAGATTATCCACGCACCTTGGCAACACACGAAATGCGACGAGCAAGAAATAAATGAGTCTAGAGATGAAGGAGACACTTTGACACATGAACGACGTCACGATTTTTATGGATGTCTTTTTTCTGGGGTGAATTCCTGCTAGGCATTCTGATAGATAGATAGATAGATAGATAGATAGATAGATAGATAGATAGATAGATAGATAACAGACTGAGATAGATAGATAGATAGATAGATAGATAGATAGATAGATAGATAGATACGAACAGACTAAGATAGATAGATAGATAGATAGATAGATACGAACAGACTGAGATAGATAGATAGATAGATAGATAGATACGAACAGATTGAGATAGATAGATAGATAGATAGATAGATAGATAGATAGATAGATACTAACAGACTGAGATAGATAGATAGATAGATAGATAGATAGATAGATAGATAGATAGATAGATAGATATCAGCAAATTGAGATAGACAGGTATCAGCAAACATAGATAGATAGATAGATAGATAGATAGATAGATAGATAGATGCGATTTGATTTCGGGTAATATCATTGTTTGATCCATCCTCAAATAAGGGTTTCGCATATTCGGGTCTGATATTCAGCCGCACGGGTGTAACAACATTGGGCGTCTTTTACGGGCATTGTTACGTTAAATTTTGGTGAATTTTTAAATGTTGTTTTAGTCCACCAACTGAGGCACATTCTTTTTTTGTTACACTCTCAACGAGTCGAAAGGCCTAATAATGTGTATTGAATGACTTATATCTGTGTGTGGCGTTTTTAATGATGTTTTAGTCTTGCCCTACGTAGGCAGAGGCGACATTCATTACACGTTTGATCAAATTCTGTGGTAACATTTTGAGAAATTGTTCTTACGTGTAATGATATATAAACACATACACGCTGAACAGATAGATAGATAGATAGATAGATAGATAGATAGATAGATAGATAAAGAAACGACACCAACAATTTTTATTGAGATAGATAAACATCATTTTTGATTGAGATAGATATATATGAGCAAACTGAGATAGATAGAAAGATAGATAGATATCAGAAAACTGATATATATATATATATATATATTGATAGATAGATAGATAGATATCAGCAAACTGAGATAGATAGCAAACTGAGATATGAGCAAATAGAGATAGATATCAGCAAACTGAGATAGATATAAGCAAACTGAGATAAATATGAGCAAATTGAGATAGATATCAGCAAACTTAGATAGATAGATAGATAGATAGATAGATAGATAGATATCAGCACACTGAGATAAATATGAGCAAATTGAGATAGATATCAGCAAACTTAGATAGATAGATAGATAGATATCAGCAAACTGAGAAAGATATAAGCAAATTGAGAGAGATAAATAGATACATAGATAGATATCAGCAAAATGATATATATATATATATATGTATATAGATAGATAGATAGATATCAGCAAACTGAGATAGATAGATAGATAGATAGATAGATAGATAGATAGATAGATAGATATCAGCAAACTGAGATAGATAGATAGATAGATAGATATCAGCAAACTGAGATAGATAGATAGATAGATAGATAGATAGATATCAGCAAACTGAGATAGATATATATAGATAGATAGATAGATAGATAGATATCAGCAAACTGAGATAGATAGATAGATAGATAGATATCAACAAACTGAGATAGATAGATAGATAGATAGATAGATAGATAGATAGATATCAGCAAACTGAGATAGATAGATAGATAGATAGATATCAGCAAACTGAGATAGATAGATAGATAGATAGATAGATAGATAGATAGATAGATAGATAGATAGATAAACGACATCAACAATTTTGATTTAGATAGGTAAACGACATTATTTTTGATTGAGACTTCGGAGAATACGCAATAACTAAATCTGTCATGCCTGGCCACCGGAATTCCAACCCTACGGAAGCACCTCCCCCTCATTGCACAAAATAAGGAGGTCGGCGAAATATCGACACCAGCGGGACGTTAATTGCAAGAAGTGGGCAATTTTCGGCCCTCGCCCATGTGCACTCGCTTGGGTTCTCCTCTCTAAACCCTCATGATGGTGGTGGAGACCAGTAAATACCAAGTGTAGTATCTGCTCTCTTCATCTCTAATGCTGATTGTAATATTAGCCTTTACCTTATATGGTAACATTTGGCATTCATTTGCCGAACCAGAGCTACTCAACTTCTGCTTTCTGATAATATTAGCTGTTAATTTCATTGATTTATTCATTTATTTATTGCTACGAAACAGCGTTTGTGAGTTTTCCTAATACATATATATCCCATAAATATAGCACACCTTAGAACTATATTTCTTCATTCATATATATATATATATATATATATTGAATAAAAACAGAACCACTTTAAGGTTCCATGTAATAAGTTATTTCACCATAACCCTTTAACGTCTGATGATCCAGAGCCCTGTTAAAGGGGTTGTGGTGAAATAACTTATTACATGGAACCTTAAAGTGGTCTGTTTTTATTCAATATATATATATATATATATATATGAATGAAGAAATATAGTTCTAAGGTGTGCTATATTCAAACATATCGGCTCTGAATTTTACATTGAGCTCTCCGGATATCATCCTCCTTGGGTCTACCCATGCGGATTACATAGTTTTGCATAAACTATATATATATATATATATATATATATATATATATATATATATATATATATATGCTCCGAGGGTATTTGAGGACATATTTGCTAATTTAATTAGACAATTTTAACCTATCAAAAACAAAAGACAAATGTATTTTAATAAAATAATTGCGCATATTGAAAGTGCTCTTACGAACTGCATTTCCTTGTTCCATCTGGTCTGACTTTTCGGTTAGGGCCCGCTATGCTACTTACATAGTAACAAACCAACCTCATTTCCTCCGTATTCCATCGGTTAGAATGACTTCCACTCAAACAGCTTCTTCATATATATATATATATATATATATATATATATATATATATATTGTTGTTCATGATGACGGTCGTCTTTGAGGATAGAATCCAGAGGTTAGCAGTGAATATTTCGAAGACAGTAGGAAAAGCGTTTTTCAGGTTAGCAGTGGATATTTTGATAAAAGTAGCAGAGCATAGTTCGTCCTTCTGTTCCTCTTCGCCTGACAAGCTGGTACTGGACATTCGGGTAGAGTGAACAAAAATGGCCGCTTTTATACACGACGGATTGAATGCTTTACGTCTTCTGATTGGTTAACCTTCTATTGGTGGACTATAAAGTGAGTCAAATCATTTGGGCTAACTCACTAGTACATATATGTAGACAAAAAACTGCAACACACATACACACACACACATATATATATATATATATATAGTATTGGATTGGTGTATACGGAATAAATTGCAATAACCAACAAATACTATTATTGAAAAAGTGCTTAATACAGAGTAGAGCAAATATAATTATTTATTTAAAAATTATAACATAAATATGTTATAAAATCACTAAAAAATAGCCATTTTGTTTCAACACCTATTTTTGTAGTGATTCTATAACATGTTATAATTTTTGAATAAACAATTATATATATATATATATATGTGTGTGTGTGTGTGTGTGTGTTCACATTTTTATTTATATTTACATACGCTCTTTCTATCATATTGATCACTATATCCCATAAATATACCACACCTTAGAACTACATTTTTTTTATTATATATATATATATATATATATATATATATATATATATATATATATATATATAATACTGTTTGACAACAGTCTTAATTACTCCATTCCCTCCTTCATTTGCTCTAATTTCTCATCTTTAGTTAATATTGTTGTGTTAAACTTCGTTTTAAAATTTTCAGAAACTGTTCTAAGCAATCTAATATTTTTATAGAATTTTAGGTACTTTTGACTTATGAAGATAGATAGATAGATATGAAGAGGTCGAGATAGATAGATAGATAGATAGATAGATAGATAGATAGATAGATAGATAGATAATATATTCTTAGGTCTCTCTCTCCAATTCATCATGGGAAGGATAAAGTATATTTATTTATTTTTTCTAATACGTGATTCTCTGAAATGTTTTCTATGTTGAGGAATATAATTCTGATTTAATATTTGTTGTTTTGTCTTTTAGATATTACTATTAACTCATGTACAGTTGGAAAAAGACATTCCGTTTAATTTAAAAAAAAATGTTTTTCTATGAAACAGTCCAGTGAATATATTTATTATTTCTAGTTTAGCTCCGTTGTTTCATCTCTTTTACTGAGAAAAGTTTTTTTTAGCCAGTAATAATAAACTCCATCCAATTTCAGAATACAATTACGTAATCCCAACTCAACATAAATAAACAGTATTTGGAACTAGTATAGAGTAGATCCTCCATTTGCTAGTTTCAGTGCTTGTATTCGATTTTTCATAGATTTGATCAAGTCATCAACAATCGTCACATCCATATTTCGCCACTCCTTTAGCAATGTTTCTTTAAGGGTTGCCACTGACGTGATTTTGGGTGAACACTCTCCACGTTTTTGCTGAAGATGCTCCCAAACGTGCTCTATTGGATTTATGTCAGGACTTTGGGCTCCTCATGGCAGTGACTTGATTCCTTGCGATTCCTTCCAGGCCTTTGCTGCTTTGCTCGTATGACAAGGCGCTCCGTTCTTTTGAAATAGGTAGACATTCTTGTCAATCTGATTAGTTTCAAAGTGGGAGTAGTCCTTTCTCTAATATTTCACAGTATTTTGAACCATTCAACTGCTTGACAAGAATCAGCTCAGATTTCCCTCCAAACCAGACAGCGTCCCACACCATTACTCCAATCCCTCCATGTTTCACGGTCGTCTGCAGACATTCAGTGTTCCAAGTCTCATTCTGATTTTGCCAAACATAAACTTGTCTCGAATTGAAATATTGGCAGAATTTACTTTCATCTGACCAAATTACAGACTGCCAAATTTCATAATCTTTGTTCTCGAATTCTCTCGCCCAGTTCATACGAAGGTTCCTGTTAACCTCTGAAATCAAAGGCTTCTTTCTTGCAACTCTTCTTTGATAGCCTCCTTCATTCAGAATTTTTCTCACCACATATGGCGACATTTCCATGCTGTTGGCGACATCTTTGACTCTCTGACGACAGTTTCTGATGACTTCCCTCTTCAGCGCCCTTTTCATTCACTCAGACACGATGCTTGGTCTTCCAGAAAGTTGTTCCACGCGACAGTGGCCTTTATTAAATTTCTTGACAATAATATTAACCGTTTGATGATTAACCTGGAGAAAACCTAGCAATTTCTCTATTTGACTTGCCACACTGATGCTTTACTATTTACTTGCTTTTGTTGAAATTCACCAATGTTCTTACTTCCGCGAACTTTCATTGCAAAATATAAGTCAACTATTGTTCATAGATGAGAGTAGCTTGATACTAACACGGTACTGTCTGAAAAAAATAAAGAGGAGACGTTATTACACAAGCCAAAATTGCTGCAATGAAGGGTAGCTAAAAACTTATCCTAGCCCACTGTATAGAACATATACGGATGAATTCGATAAGATCAATATGGCAATCGATTTCCTAAACCATCTTCAGACTGTTGTTAGCTGGGGAAATATGGTCTGTCAATTTTAACGTCCCCAAAACTAAACTGCTCTCCATTAATCGTCCGAGAGACCCTTCTCTGCCTTCCATCACCACAGCTGATGTTAACGCCCAAGAGAGTGGCTCGTTGTGCCTTCACGGACAAAAGTTTTCCACTGACATGAAGTTTAAAGACTATATTGAATCCAATGCTATGTCAGCTGATAATAAAGTTGGTTCACGGTGTCGTGAAAGACAATTTTTTCTCTCCAGAATGTATCCTACATATCTTTAAGTCTACCATTCGTCCATGCTTAGAATATTGCTGCTACATATAGTCCGATGCTTCTGCTATTTATCTATAGCTGCTTGATAAAATCCAAAGAAGAATCAACAATATTAATGGTCCTGATCCGACGGCTCGTTTTCAGCCAATTTGTCACCGGCCAAAAATTGCCTCTCTATGTCTTTTCTATAAATACTATTATGATAATTGGTCGGATGTGCTTCTTCTTCTGGTTTTTTGAAGTCCCGTTATTTTCAGACTATTTTCAGACAGGTAGAGATTCAAGTTTGCGTTCAACTATAACCTTTTTGGACAACTTACATAATGAACTTTATTTTGGGCAGAAAGAAAACTGTCTTAAATTTATTTTGACTTAATTTTTATTTATTTATTCGTTTTTGTTTGAATTTAATTTTCTGGTTTTTCTCTTCAGTATTTCTTATTTTCAGTTTTACAGTCGGCTTTAGCCGCCATCTTTATTTTTATTCTGGTTTGACAAAGTCTTACCAGATTACTTTTTTCGTTGTAATTCATTTGTTTTTAATTTATAGCATACGTTTAAATCTTTTTTGTTAATTTGTTTTGACGTTTTGAATAGTTCATTTTCTTGTCAGTCGGTAAATCTTTTTAGTTTTTCGCTCTTCGGTTTCAATAGGGATTTATTTTATTTCTCTTGGTTAACTCCTAATTTTCCCAGACATTTTTTTATTTTTATTTTTTATTAGACTTTATTGATTTTTTAGTTTAAACAATTTTCTCGTCTTTTGGGCGAATTTTTTTTATTTTATTGACGAACATTATTTTCGACGAAAGTTAATTTTTTGTTTTACCACTTTCATCTGGCATTATTTTTTTCTTTTGGCGAAATTTATTTTATTTTTCGTCGTCGGGCGAAGTTTTGTTTTAAATCGTTTATTTCCGAATTATTTTAAAATTAGAAAGTTTATTTTCTTTCTTTTTTTCTCGTTTTAAATCAAACAGTTTTTTTCTTTATTGTAGTATATACTTTTATTTTGTATTGTTACTTTTTCTCATCTTTATTTCTTGTGTTGTTGGTTTGATTTTAATTTTTAACTTCTCCTTATAGAAGAAATTTAACATTTTAAGTCTTATTTTTGTAGGTGTTTTCCCTAATATAGACTTTAAAATATAATTTATCTTCAAAAAAATTCTTCACGCTTAGCCAGTTAAGATTAAAAAGAATAATCTTGTAAAAGATGGACTTTTAGAAGACACCTCAAAATTAAAGATGTTTGAAAAGAGAATGCTTTCAATCTTCGTGATGGACAAGCGTACACGCAAAAATTGTCGTTCCACGAAAGATACAGTGATTCGATCACTCATGTCCCTGGGGGTTAAACCCCAAAGATTAATAATAGGTAACGGTTTTTCATGTGGGACGTACTGATACCCACAGCCGATGATTGTCTCAATACGTCGAGAAGAGAACTGATAACGAATGACCTCATCTTACAGGCCGAGTATGATGGTTGGTGAAGAAGCCCGTAGCAGTATTCGAGGTCCCTCCTCAGGTGTCGGAAGAGTATCTGTCTGCCTTCTTCATGCAGTATGACCAAATTCTATGTGTGACCACTGACAACCAAAACAGTGGATAGAGCTTTGACATTATGCCCGTTCGTTTGACCTTCGACTCATTTCCTAACGGTTTTACCACAAGGCGAGTGTGCTTCTGTTGTGAATGTAGAATTGCTCGGATGACCTTTCAAATTCTAGACGTTTTCCGATGTGTTTTATATTACGTGTTAGTTAGGAAGTCCGTACAAGGTGATCTGATAGACGAGCTCGGACTAACGAAGCAGGAGGCTCTCTCCCTTCTGCCCGGGTTGAAATGCGTCAATAACGAGGCATCTCTCACCTGGTTGGTGATTCGTAGGGTACACTGGGTCGGCAAAAAAATCTCCAAAATGCGTTCGCTGTGATGGAAAAGTGGAGAGCGTGGATCTCACCTTCTTTTATTGCTGAATCATAGTCACGTTGTGCAAGTTTATTGAAGGTATTATAGTACGCATGCTGCGCTGAAAGTTTTTCGTCCAGGAGGTCAGTTCTGTCAGTAGCAATGTGGTACCGCCATTAACGAAGTCTGAACATTATGTGTTCTTTTGCTTGCTAAGCGTTATGACAGTCCTGATTTGAAGGACACGTCAAAAAGATTTCTATTGGGGTGACGAGAGATTCACCTCTTCTGAACTGATCTTGACTTTAAGCATCAGCTTAAAGTCAAGATTAGGCTGTAAAGGCGACAGCTTCATCAATCAGAATTTCGCAAAGCTGGATGAGTTGCGCATTTGTATCGAGTAAGAATAGTTCACTTAGAGTGGCACTTTGCCGGATTTTGATTAGGATTTTACGCTAACTGGCTTGGTCACTGGCAACCCCCCCCGAAATTAGGTGAGTTTAGGGGGGGGTCCTTAGTTTTTTCCTTCAAGTTAACTCAGCTTCTTTTATTTCTGCCCCCCACTTTCTTTAGTTTATTTCCCATTCGTCTTCCCCTCTCCCATTAGGTGATTATAGATATCAGTTCTCTGGTGGTTGCAGGATGCCTTTCGTTTTTCTGGGGGTGACTTTCGTATTTGTTGTTATATTTGAATGAGTGACTTTTAGTGAGGGGCTTGATTGAATGAGTGTTTTATATAATTAATTTCGTCCAGCTAAATGATGTCACTGTCACAATTAAAGATTATAGGGAGGCTTATTACTTATTACTAACACTATTTTGTTTAGTTTCTTCTAAATGGATTATTTCGTATTGTAAATAGACATTGGGGATTACATTTTTAAATTGTTTTATCCCCCCCCCACAGACAGGCAAGAATTGTTCGTATAGGAACCAGATACGATTTCATAGAGCTTCTGATGTATTACAACCAAAACAGTGGATAGAGCTTTGACATTATGCTCGTTCGTTTGACCTTCGACTCAATTCCTAACGGTTTACTACAAGGCGAGTGCTCCTTCTGTTGTGAATGTAGAATTGCTTTGAAATACCTCTTACGAAGGACGGATGAACTCTTCAAATTCTAGACGTTTTCCCGATGTGCCAGACAGGCAAGAATTGTTCGTATAGGGACCAGTTACGAGCTTCTGAGGTATTACGGTGACTGTAGTAAGAATGTTAAGTAATAATGTGTTATTTTCGTGTAAGGAATATTGTGGTATGTTTGAATCGATAGTTGTGGCTAGTTAAGTTTAATTATAAGACAGAACAAGACAGTCCTTTTCCTACCCTCCTTTTGGCGTTATGCCGCATTTTTTGAATGTATACAGAATAAGTATTGCTGTTCTCTATGGTACTTAGACTTTTTTGAATTTAGGCAAAGTATTAGACTGGCATCAAGATCTCACCAATTTACGGTTGAATTGGCTAGATGTAAAGGGGAATTATATGCTAACAATTTCTTTTCTCGCACTTCCCGCTTGTAAAACTCCCTTCCGGCACCATGCTTTCCAGCCAAATTTAATCTTCAAAAATTTAAATGTAGTATCAGTCGCTATCTACTGTCCTCCTGATTACTCTTCTATTGTTCTCGCTCCTTAATAATGTTTCCGTTTTCTAATTCTTCCATACCCAGTCCTTGTGTCTTTATCTCCTTGCGTGGGGTGATACCGATTTTTTTTTTTTAAAAGTCATGACCTTTTTGTACTCCAATTCGTATAAGACGTAATTTATGTGCGTTTATATGTGAGCGAGATGAACAACGTCGGCAGTGATAAAGGCGCTTCATTTAGGAGAAGGAAAACTCTGATATAAAAATAAATGGGTAGATAGAACTCATTAACCATCTTAATGGTCATCTCTCTGAGAGAATGCAACGTTGATATAAAAATCAACTGGTCTGACCTCATGAGAATGCATAAAAATGTAACTAAATGTCGCATCGACGGTTACAAATGGCCGCCTGCCTCGATGAAACACCGAGCCGAGGTCGAAAAATATGGCTACTTGTAAGGCAAGGTCTTGTCATCTACTTAACCTATTTTAACATCAGTTAAAAAAAAAATCGGCTGCAAAATCAAAAGACGTTCTTCAGGATTTCAGGATTCACTTCTTTTTAGAAAAATTCAAAAATGAAAACGTTGATATTGTCTGTAGTTGCATCGAATTTGGTATTGATTCCATTGCGCCTTTAAGATACAATTTATTTTGGACTGGCCACTAGGTGAAAAGATTACATGGAGGTGGAATTGCAATCTCCAAATCACCAAATATGAATATAAACGATATTGTGCACTGGTAAATAAGACTGACGGTAAAGGTAACATTAGCCGACAAGGAAACGTTTGTCATTCATTGACCGTTCAGACATTACCGGTTGAAATTTATAAAATCTTACTCTTTTTTTTTTAGGAAAAATAGGTTTCTCAAGTCCAGTAGCTTTTATCAATCTTTTCGGTATTGACAGTAGTTTCCTTCCTAACCTTTTGTTTGAAATAGTGTGGAATATCAACATCTTGATTATGTAATTATTTTCCCTTCGTGTCGACCCATTTCAATTGTTGTTGCTGTTGGTAGCCCTCAATTGATGTGTGTTAGTCGGTACTGTTTTTTTGTTTGTGATTCTGTAGCGCCAGTCCACAATATTCAAAGAAGGACAACCTTTGCCAAGACTCTCGCTCAAAGCCTTCGTTTTGCCATTGCACTTTTATACAGCTGGCAGTTTAGATATGGCAGCCGACATTGTTGTTCATGGCTGGAAGCTCCGTGTGATATCAGCTAGAAGTTTATGCCACAAGTGAAAAAAAAAAGTGTTGTTTCAAGAAAAGGAAAAAAATCTACTCAAGATTAAGTAAACTTTGTATGTTAGGAAAATAAATCCTAAATATTTACGCATTTTTGTGAGGTTTTTAATTCTACCTCAAGTATTAGGTTGGTGCAAAAATAATGACGTAATAATGACGTTTTTTGACGTATTTTTTAACGTCAAAAAAACGTCACGTCATTATTTTTGCACCAACCCAATACTTTTGAATGTCACTTAGATTGTAAGACGACATCGCCCTTTGAAACAGAAGGTTCAAGCAGCAACGGGGGAACTCTTCTTAAACCTTTGTTGCTCACAAAGATATTCTACCCTTAACACATGCTTCGACCACACCATGAAACCTTTCACTACATGGCAATGAACAGATAACGTATCAAAAAGATTATTGACTTCAATATCTCAGACTCTTGGATTAGGAAGTTTGCGACAGGTAATAGAGTATACAACTCCTACTTTGACTCTTATGACAGACTACTTGTAACTATACTGACAACACCAGTCAAATATATAGCTTGCCTTTGCCCAAATTAATCATGGAATACACTAAGGTATAACATCCAAACCGTTAATACTGTAAATTTAGAATTCAATAATAAACTACAGTTTAAAACTGGTGTCAAAAAGTTTTGCTCAAAACGATAAAAATAGAGGAATCAAATAATGCTTTCATATCTGTTAAGGTAATTTACCCGCTTACGCATGGACTCTCTCAGCTATAAATAGGAGCAGGTACTGCCTTCAGCTCCGACAGTCGGACTGAACATTCTTGCTGTAACACTCTCGTTTGTATAAGTTTGTATTACTGATTCTGGTAATATATTACTTTAACACAATTCCTCTCTTTGTGTTTTTATTTCTGGCCCTAACAAGGACACAACAATAGATTGATATTCCGTAAAACAAACCAAAGCAAACCATTATATACTGAGATAGATAGATAGATAGATAGATAGATAGATAGATAGATAGAAACTGAACCGGCTCAGATAGTGTTATGGTACTTTACCCACGCACGCATGAACTCACCCAACTATAAATAGGAGCAGGTACTGCCTTCAGCTCTGACAGTCGGACCAAATATTCTTGCTGTAACACTCTCGTTTGTATATGTTTTTATTACTGTTTATGTTAATATATTTGTTTAACTCAATTCCTCTCTTTGTGTCTTTATTTCTGGCCCTAACAAGGCCACAACAATAACCAATTGAGATTGATATGCCATAAAACAAACCAAAGCAAACCAATAGATAGATAGATAGATAGATAGATAGATAATGAACAGGTTCACATAGTGTTATGGTAATTTACCCACGCACGTATGGACTCTCCCAGCTATGAATAGGAGCAGAGTTTTTGGAGGGTGAGGTTTCCAGCCGTCAGCTCTGACAGTCGGACTGACCATTATTTCTGTAACACTTTCGTTTGTATTACTGTTTCTGTTAATATATTAGTTTAACACATTTCCTATCTCTGTGTCTTTATTTCTGGTCCTAACAAGGCCACAACAATAACCCATTGAGGTTGAATGCCGTAAAACAAAACAAACCAAACCAATATATACTGAGATAGATAGATAGATAGATAGATAGATAGATAATGAACAGGCTCAGATCGTTTTATGGTAATTTATCCATGCTCACATGGACTCTCCCAGCTATAAATAGGACCAGTTACTGCCTTTTATAGAGGGAAGTTTCCAGAAGTCAGCTCTGACAGTCGGATCGAACATTCTTGCTGTAACACACTCGTTTGGATATGTTTGTATTACTGTTTATTTAATATATTAGTTTAACACAATTCCTCTCTCTGTGTCTTTATTTCTGGCCCTAACAATATCCCATTGAGATTGAGATGCCTTAAAACAAAGCAAAACAAACCAATATATACTGAGATAGATAGATAGATAGATATTACCTGGAAGAAAAATCTTGTCGGTATTAAATAACCCATTCAGGTTGATATGCCTGAAAACAAACCAAACCAAACAAATATATACTAAGATAGATAGATAGATAGATAGATAGATAGATAGATAGAATATTAGCAGCAATAAAAATCTTGCCAATATATTTTGATCAAAACAATAAAAATAGAGGAATCAAATAATGCTTTCATATCTTCATTAACTGGATCGCGTGAGACCATTCTAAGAAGACCTAGCTGAAAAAGAAATACACCCATCGGACGATAATCCTGAGTTTTAAACAATAATACGAGAAAGAAACAAACAGAAATGGCAAAAAATGGTAAGCTGAAATTCTAAAACAATTAAAAAAGGAAATTTAAAAACAACAAGTTAATTCTTTGAGAACGCGATATCTTCGGAAAATTGAAAATGAAATTAATGAAGCCCAACAGCATAGACAATATGCTAAAACGTGGAGAAAGAAACATCAAAATAACATCATGAAATCAAAACGAGAACAGAAGAAATGTCCGGATCTCAATAAGCCCTTAGAATCAAATTTCAACCCTGACCACAATAAGCTAAAAGGCTCGCAGAAATAGAATATATACCAATATGCATCCAATCATTGCAAAGTCCGCTTCCAAATATACATAATAATGAATATACTAATGAGGAAATTAACTGTATTCGTCCCTTCCAAACGTGTTGTTGGTTTTGCACAGAACTTTCACCACTATAATGAAATCATATGGCTATCGGTCCCTCGGAACTGAGCTGCTTGACCCTCATACGTCGAGTCCACCATGCTACCATATTCTTTCATGCTTAGATGGGTCCTTTCTTTTATGGGTCCTACGCATTCAGGACGTGGCGTTAAGTATGGTACTCGACATTTCTCTTTGTTTTCTTGCTTTTCAGAACGTCTTGAGCGTGGCAGATTCTCCAGACACCCTTTCTTTATTAAGTGCTAGAAAAATGTTAACAGTCTTTTTCTAATTTTTTTTTTTTTTTTGTTTAATTTCTATTGTTGGTTCAATTTTCTTTCTCAAATTCAACGTTAAATGACAAACTTCCCAACTTCAGCGCAAATACGTCAAATCATAATTTCTCAACCTATGCGCCCGGGGCCCACCAATGCATCCTGAGAGGTAACCAGGTGCACCCTAAATTAACAAAAGTGTGATTTATGAATTATTTTTATATTAAAAAAAATATTATTCAAAAAAAAAAACAAAAAAAAACATGATTTCTATGTCTAAGCCTTTGTGATTTGATATTTTAAACTGGATGCAAAATTCCTTAATCTTTAAGAAAGACTGGATAATCCTTTCCCTTTTGCCTTCCTCAAGGGATTTAAATCGGTCATTATCGGCCTCTCTCTAAAAAAAAGAAATAAAATAAAATAGCAAATTCTTCATAAATCCTTTTAAATTAAAACTGTACCGCAAATCTTCTTTAGAAACGCTAAACCAAAAAAAATTATATTTTCAAATTCCATGACGAAACTTTAATTAATAAAATTTAAAGTGCACCCCAAAGTTTTAGCTATTTTGCAAGTGCGTCCGAAGTAAAAAAAAAATAGTTGAGAAACTCTGGGTTAAATTGTCGTCTACGAAAAACGTGCTCCCATGATATCACAAGCGACGTTATGGCGGAGGGAAAGTGTCTGAAGACGAGATGCCAGGTCAGGAT